CTGGTTCGCATGCTATAGCAAATGGTTTACTAGTGTTTTGTCTATTATTATAGAATTAAGAAGTTTAGAATGAAGGTTGTGATTATCAATTTGTTATCGGTTCTAGCTAAAAAAGGTAGAAAATAGAACTGTAAGCGTTGTTGATTGTAATATATTCTTGTCCATTTATGTGCATTCATAGAACCGCCCACAACGCGGGGCTGAAAACGAGATAATACTCTTGAGATCAAACCAATCCGCTGCTGAGCGCGCCTCTTCTGTCGTTCGGAAAATTAAGCAACAATGTACCTCTACTATAGAGATATTTCCCTAGTTAGATAATTTACTCATTTAGGGAGAGACCTGCTTTAGATATCAATAAATTATTCATGATCCTATATTATATGAATGGAAAATATTTCTTTGAGCTTGAGTATGGGCGGTTCGGTTATAGTACTTTCCAATCCATCTGTTATTACAGAATATATTCGCCCCTCCGCTTTCCCACTACTATACAACAGTATTCCGATTATAGTAAATAATCTCTAGAGTACCCTAGGACCTATACGAAAAGTAATAAACAATAGTCGCTCGACCCCAGGAATCGAACACAGCTTCTATATTGAGTACGAATAAGATCATACGTCCAGTCATTTTCTCTCAATCTCAGAAGCATATGTACTGATCGCTCCTCTCTGATCATTACTACAAGACTTTTAGCTACCTTGAGATGCTACTATAACCCAATTCCGCCACCAAAATGCCCCTGACAAAATCGTCCTTGTACCTTTCCCGGCCTAATTCCTGGCCTCCAGGTCGGTCCGAAACGACACAGTCGCCTCCAAAAGACACTATACGCCACTCAACTCGGCACTCATCGCTAGCTCAGCTCGTGTGTGAACATAAGCGACCCACCCCCTGAGACACCACAACACCACATGCACATTCCTTACTCCCGGCCCAGCTAGGAGAGCGTACTACACCGCTCTCTCTCTCTCTCTCTCTCTCTCTCTCTCTTTCCTCTCTCTCTCTCTCTCTCTCTCTCTCTTTCTCTCTCTGCTCTCTACTCTCTCTCTCTCTCTTCTCTCTCTCGTTTCATTCTCTACCTTACTCTCGTCTGGCGGCTCCCTTCTCCATCTCTTCTGTGACCCCTCTCTCTCTCCCATCTATGCTCTCTCTCCTCCCCATTCCTCTCTACTGGTGCCCGTGGGTTTGCCTTCCTTGATGGTGCTCTCACTGTTGCGATCTCTCGTCTGGCACTAGTCCATGCCCCAGGCAGTTACGAAGAAAACTCTGGGTTGCCGACTCTCCTCCCACAGGAAGCATCCCTCTGCGCGCAATGTCGCAGGTCCCAATCATTCCTTTTAGCCCTCCTCTTAGGTAAGCTCGTTTTCATGCATTTTTTGACTATTATTTCTGAGAGTTTGCCTCATTCAGCCTACATCCCTTCCTTTCACACCTCGCTATGACCCTTCCTTGCAAGATAGGTTCCGTTGTATACTGATTATCTTAATTCCCTTCAGTTCTCTCGGCTCGTATATAGAAGAAGCACGCACATACTGAATCTTCTAAAATTTAACATACATGTCTTCTTGTATGGTTTTTCAAGTGACATAATTAAACTAGACCCCAAAAACCATAAGATATGGAGATGTTAGAACACCCACTATCGTCTGATTAGTAGTTTACCTTCTGTATTTTCAGGATATGTTTCCTGTATAATTATATTTGTTTCCCCTTTCATAATACAGGTCTAGGCAACTGTTATATTTAGTGAAATGTTGATGGTTAAGCTTAGATAATTGACTCCACTTCTACCTGAACATTGGGTTCCCAGGTTGAATTAAAAGGAAGAATTTTAAATCTTTAATTAGGTGTATGATGTTGCACGGTGACAATTGGGTGGCTCCTGAGTCTCTAAAGTTCTGGAAGGGGATCCATGGCATGGTGCTTCTTCCATGCCCCTTCTTCTCTCGTCCCTTGCGGTCGTTCCGTCATGAGTTGAGTGCTGGGGAATCAGTTCAATGTTACTGTGGCTTCCTCTGTGTGTAGGAAATTTGACCCAGGTTTCTTTCATGATATGCTCTCTTGTCCCATTGGCCCATAGGGGGAGTCTTGTAAGGGAAGAACTATGCTATTGACCTGGATATATAATAAACTATAATTCATTGATACTTACTCCATCCAGAGTTAGAACATCTAATTTAGCCCCTCAGATACCCTCATCATCCTCCCTACTGGAATTGGATAGTCCCATACTATACTCATCTCCCTCCGTTATTCCTCCTCCAATATTAATCTTGCATTCTCGGCTCACTGTCTCCTCTGGCAACAGTCTTCCTCTCTCTCTAAGCCGAGTCCCTCACTCATTCGGCTCATTGTCCCAGGCAGTTTATCATACATCTCTCTACATCTCCTCCTATGCCATAGGAGGATAATGATGCGACACGATGGCTTAGCTCTGTTGAGCGATAATGACCCCTCCCGTGAATTCCCCAGTGGACCGACCTAGGTAAACAAGGATTATTTCGCTCTCTGCTCTCTCCCATATCTCTCTCTCTCTCTCCTCTCCCATATAATCTCTCTCTCTCTCTCCCATAATTCTCCTCTCTCTCTCTCCATCATCTCTCTCTCTCCTCTCCCCATTATCTGCTCTCTCTCTCTCTCCCAGATCCTTCTCTCTCTTACTTCCCAGGTATCTCTCTCTCTCTCTCCATATTTCTTTCCTTCTTTTCTTCTCCTCTCTCTTCTAACCCCCAATTAAAAAAAAAAAATAATGGTAAAAAAAAAAAAAATAAGTAAAATGATATTAAAACTAAAAAAACGTATGATTAAAAAAAACAAATTCTCTCTCTCTCTCTCCTTCCCCATATCTTCCTCTCTCTCTCTCCTATATTCCCCATCTTTCTCTACTCTCTCTCTCTCTTCCCATATCTCTCTCTTCTCTCTCCCTTCTCCCTTCCCATTCCTCTCTCTCTCCCTTTCCTCTCTCTCTCCTCTCTCTCTCCCCCTCTCTCTCTCTCCCTCTCTCTCTCACACCCCTCTCTCTCACCCCCTGCCTCTCACCCCCCTCTCTCTCACCCCTCTCGTCTCAACCCCCCTTCCTCTCTCTCACCCACCCCCTCTCTCTCACCCCCCTCTCTTCCACCCTCCCTCCCTCTCTCTCACCCCCCTCTCTCTCACCCCCTCCTCTCACCCCCCTCTCTCTCACGCCCCCCTCTCTCACTCTCTCACCCTCCCCCTCTCTTCACCCTCCCTCCCGCACCCCTCTCTCACCCCCCCTCTCTCTCTCACTCCCCCTCTCTGTTCCCTCTCCCTCTCATCCCTTTTCTCTCTCCCTCTTTCCGCCTCTCACCCCTCCTCTCTCTCTCACCTCCTCTGTCTCTCCCTCTTTTACTCTCACCCTCCTCCTCCCTCCCTCCCTCCCTCTCTCTCTCTCTCTCTCTCTCTCTCTCTCTCTCTCTCTCTCTCTCTCTCTCTCGCTCTCTCTTCTCTCTCTCTCTCTCTCCTCTCCGCCCTCTCTTCCTCTCCCTCTCTTCTCCCCTCGTCTTCCTCTCCCTCTCTTCCTCCCCTCTCTTCCTCCCCCCCTCTACTTCCTCCCCTCTCTTCCTACCCCTCTCTTCCCTTCCCCCCCTCTCCCTACCCCACCTCTCTCTCCTTCTCCCTCTCCCTCTTACCCCCCCCTTCTCTCTGCAAGCCAACCAAATCGTTTTCTGCAAAAGACTACAAACATCACAGATCTATATTCCTTTTTAACCTGCCTTCTTTAATATCAACCATTTTCATTCTTTTTGCTTTCGCATTTTTTGTATACCCCACTTCATATCTTTCCCTAATTGTCCATCATTCCTTTTCATCAGCAGTTCCCAAACAAAAAATATCTATTTATCTATCTATTATCTATCTACCTATCTACCTATACCTACCTACCGTAATCTATCTATCTATCTATATCTATCTACTTATCTATCTATCTATCTATCTATCTATCTACTACCTACCTACCTCTACCTACTACCTCTACCTATCTATCTATCTCTATCTATCCATCTATCTATCTATCTATCTACCTAATCTATTATCTACCTATCTATCTATCTATCTATCTATCTATCTATCTATCTATCTATCCTAGCTATCTATCTATCTATCTATCTATCTACCTACCTACCCTACCTACCTACCTACCTTACTACCTATCTATCTATCTATCTATCTATCTATCTATCTACCTACCTACCTACCTACCTACCTATCTATCTGTCTATCCAATCTATCTAGTCCATCCATCTATCTATCTAATGTATAAATATATACATTAGCACTGTAATCGTATATCTTTTTTTACACTTAAAATCCCTTTACCGAAATGCACCATAATTTCAATTCATCGCAAGAATTTCACGACGAAAATTGAAAATCAAATAGACTTCCACATTCACACGTAATAAAAGGAGACCAATAGTGTATTCCCCGATGATAGTATTTTTACGCTTACCCCCTGCCCCCTCGCCCCCCCCTAACTCTCCTCCACACCTGGTCTAACAGGTGCAGCAGACCGCAAAGAAAAGCCACGTGACTTCTCGTTCGTCACCTTATGGGTTTACGCATCATACGTAAGCTGCTAAAAAGAAGAAAAAAAATGGAATAGGCAAATAAAGGAGGGTAGAAGGTACAGCTTAGGAAAAAAAGGAAATAATCATCTAATGAATACAATATATAGTATACATATACTTACACATGCATATACTTGAAGACGTCTAATGTATATATATGTAATGTTATATATATATATATATATCATATATATATATATATATATATATACTATAATATCATATATATAT